TGCCAAATGTCAATTAGTTGAGGGCATTCATCGGCAGCCGGTTACCATACCGTCTTCATAACGTATTGGGGAAGTCTCGATTTCACCATGGGTGAAGCGAATGCATGCTGGTGTCTTTGAGGAGCAGGTAGAGCTTCGACAGTGAGATCTCAGCCTGAGTGTCAGCCGGATAGGGAGATGGAGAGGGAGAGGGAGAGGGAGAGCTCGCCCTCCATGCGGCGCACCATTGGGGGCGCTGCGGACTATTAGGCCTCGTCGCACATCGCGCGCATTCTGGATTGTCTTATTTATCTGATGTTAAAATATCCATTTGAAATGCTTGCCACATCTCGGGGATGGCGACGCCAATTCAGCCATCCTGAGATGCAGCGCCCTCCGGCCAGCATCTCAGGATGTAATGGCTCAATCAGGGATGTCGTGGACATCTTTGGTTGCCTCAGGCATCCCAAGATGCATGAAGCAATTCAGGATGCGCGAAGCAATTCAGGATGCGCGCGCATCCTGAATTGCTTCATGCATCTTGGGATGCTCGAGGCAATCGAAATTAGAATGGAGATCGTATCGGGCAATTTCAGATGCCTCAGCATCTCAAATTGCGGGTTCCCCGCCCCTGACGGACATGGAAAATTCAAAAGCCCCTGGGTTGAGCAGTGGCAGCTGCGTAGGTGATGCTCCTGTTTGCAGAGAGAGGAGTCAAGGAAGGCCAAGAAATCACATGGTCATATGGGGACTCATACAGGAGCCTCCGCAAGGAGATGGGATACAAGGTAAGGTAAGGTAAGGTAAACGTCTCCACACACACAAAGTGGTGGGGCAAGGGGGGGCGACCCTCGCATCTCCACGCCCGGACACGGGCAGGAGCCCCACGGCATTCAAAGTGCAAGCACCGGCCCGGTGCCGTGGGTGAGCACAACCTGCACCCCACTCCTACTCCTATAACACAACCCCCACAGCGTGGTCGTCTACGTGTTCAGAAACACCAAGCAGCGAGGCGAGGGTGAAGGGGTAAGGGGCTGTGTGGGGCTATCTGTGACTACATCTAGCCTGGGGGGTAGCAGGAGGGGGGGGCAGAGGGTAAGATATGGGTGAAGCCAGCTAGTCGGACGCCTTGTCGTCGGAATACTCCTCGGAGCCGGTGTCCTCGTCGTCGTCCTCGGTCTGCATCGCCTCGCCAGCCGTGAACCTGAACACGGCGTCGGCCGGCGCCGAGGCGCCGGCGGCCGTCATCAGGTGCATGACATATTTGTCGCGGCATGCCGCATCAATCTCTCCGTGCTCGGCCAGCTCGTTCGCGAGCCAGTCCGAGGCGACGGTCGTCGCCACGGTGCCCTGGGGGACCGTGGCGCACACCACGCTAGGGCCGCGCCGATATCCGTCGTCCCTCTCTGGGGGCAGCGAATATGTGACCCGAGTCTTGGACCCGGCCTGGCTGCGCGCCCGCGCAGCTGCAGACCGTAGCCCGTCCATCACGTACTCGATGTTCGCGCGTAGCTGCGCGCGCGGGCGCTCCACGCGCTCGGCCTCGCTCGCGGCCGCGCGCTCGCCAGCCTCCTTCGCCCGGCGCTCCTTCTGCCGGTTCTTCTTGGCCTTGCGAGACGCGGCCTTTGCCGCAAGCTGCTCATCTGTGAGCTCCTTCTTCTTCGGCGCGGTGCGCTCAATGTACGAGCGCTCCGCCGCCTTCACCGACTCGCGGTCGCCCGCGGCCTTTTCGTGCTTCAGGTCGACCTCGATGGTCGCGTAGCCAGGCCTTATCACCCTGACACAGGACGCGCCGAACAACCTTGCGACACCCACCGCGTCCTCCAGTTGCGCCTTATCGCAGCTATTCCAGGGTCCGCTGCGCATCCCCGGTGGCGGACGGGGCTGGCGCTTGCGGGTTCCCCGCCCCTGACGGACATGGAAAATTCAAAAGCCCCTGGGTTGAGCAGTGGCAGCTGCGTAGGTGATGCTCCTGTTTGCAGAGAGAGGAGTCAAGGAAGGCCAAGAAATCACATGGTCATATGGGGACTCATACAGGAGCCTCCGCAAGGAGATGGGATACAAGGCGGGGACAAAGGTTGATCCGAACGCAATAACACCCCAGCAAGCTCGGACGGCATTTGCGAGATACTGCAAAAAGTTTACCTTACCTTAACCGCGCTGGGAAGCGAAAAGGGGCGCGGGCACATCAGATAAATAACCAGCAGCCACACTCCTCACTCGCGCGTCGATATGCGAGAGCCAGTAGACCGACATGAAGACAGAGAGGCATATCAGAGAGGCATCAACAGAGCCAGAGCATGGTGCGCGGTGAAGCGTTGGGATCGAGCGCCTCAGCGGACCCGCGCGAGGGGCGCCTAATAGTAGTAGCCTCCCATGGGGCAAGCAACCCTCGCGAACCCCCCACGCTCAAGAGTGCAAGGACCGAGTGGTGGGTGAGGCAGCAGCGCCACGCAGCC